AAAAAAAGAAAGGAAAAAAGAAACAGTTGATACACAAAACATTCTTTTCAATGATCTAAGATAAACTAGTAATAGTATAAATGAAACAAATTAGCATACATAAAATATTTTTGAAACAGTGAAATATGTGGTTTGGGGACATATATGAACTTCTCCCTACTTCCTCTTTATCTCTCTTTTATTTTGCTTTTTATTTGTATGTTAATATATATTATGTTCCTCATATAAAAGAAATCATGTGCTATTTGAGCTGCGTGTCTGACTTATTTCACTTACCATTATGTTCTCAAGTTGCATCTCTTTACCTATGAATGCCTCAAATTTATCTTTATGACAGCAAGTACTCCACTGTGTATAAGCACCACATTTTCCTATCCATTGAGCTGTTGACGGACATATCTGCTGTTCTGAAGATCTAGCTAGGGTAAACGGGTATGCGTGTGTCCTGTAACTCTTTTGGTAAGATACCTATAAGGGGGACAGCTGGGTCAACCAGAATTTCTACTTTTAGATTTTTGAGGAATCTCCACACTGATTTCTATAGTAGTTGGAATAGTTGGACATTCCCACCAATAACGTAGAGGAGTTCCTTTACCCCCACATCCGCACCGGCATTTATTATTAGATGTTTTTGATGATAGCCATTCTTTTCAGGGTAAGGCGGTGTTTTGGTATAGTTTTAATTTGTATTCGTCTGATGGCCAATGATGAGCATTTCTTCATGTTGGCCATTTGCACTTCTGAGAAGTATCTATTCATTTCGGTTGTACATTTTTTTGACTGGGTCTTTTATTTGGGGGATTTTTCAAAGTTACTGTTTCAATTTATATTCCTATGAGAAGAGTATTAAGAGTTTGTATTGTCCCAATAATTGCCAACACTCAACATTATTGCGTGCCTGGAGAGTATAAAATTGTATCTTAACTTACCACTTCCCTGATGTCAATGAGGCTGAGGATTTTTCCACTAAAGTATGTTTACTATGTAATTGGGTATTCTCTTCTGTGTGTTACCTTTCTGTTACTGAAACAAAATACGTGAGATAATCAACATTTAAAAAGGAAAGGTAGCAGCCGGGCGTGGTGGTGCACGCCTCTAATCCCAGCACTCAGGAGGCTGAGGCAGGAGGATCGTTGTGAGTTCGAGACCAGCCTGGGCTACATAGTGAGTTCCAGGTCAGTCTCAACTACATAGTGAGACCCTGTCTCAAAAAAACCAAAATAAATAAATAAAAAGGAAAGTTTTATTTTGGCTCATAGTTTTGGAGGTTTCATTTCTTTCTGCCTGGGCCTGCTGTGTTTGGGTGGTGGTATATCACAGAGTGTGTCTTTGTCACTTCACCATCACTGGGATGACACTCACACCCAACACCCAACACCCACATCTTAGCGGAGGAGAAATTTAGTTTGGCTCACAGTTTCTGACAGTTCAGTCTAGGTCGGCTGGCTCCAAGGCAGAAGCCCCGTGGTAGAAGGCTGTGGTGGAGGAAGTTGTTCACCACCTGGTGGCAGGAGACTGAGAGAGAAGAGGAGCCAAGGCTGAGAATGCACCCTTCCAAGTCAGGCCTCCAGTGACCCACCTCTTCCAACTGCCCCTCCCCCTGCGAGACTTTGGGGGATATTTCAGTTCCAAACCATAACATACCAACCCTGGCCCCGAAAAGGCCCACATCCATTTCATTATACAAAATGCACTTAGCTCCTCTCTAAGAATCCCCAGAGCCTTACCAATCTAGTATTGCTGAAAAGTCCAAGTACAAAGTCTCCTCTGAGACTCATGACAAACTGTTACTTATGAGCCCCTATAAAAATAAAAAAGGAACTAGGCATGGTGACACATCCCTGTAATCCCAACACTCAGGAGGCTGAGGCAGGAGGATTGCTGAGTGTTCAAAGCCAGCCTGGGATACATAGTGAGCTCAAGGTCAAACTGAACTATGTAACAAGACCCTATCGCAATAAATAAACAAATAAATAAATATGAAAAAAGAGTTTGAGGTCCACTTGTGATTTCAGTGGAGAAAAACCTGATGAAGTTAAAACTGTTGTAAAGTCACTTTTTATGTTATTAACTGACTAAATGATGTTTCAAAAAATGAACAGAAGCCTCATACTTATAGCATGGGATTTCTTTTATTATTCTGAAATTTTGTATGATGACAGTCTGAGAAGTTCTTCAGATAAGTTTTGAATATTTTAAGTAAAAAAATGGGGCCGGGGATGTAACTCAGCAGGCATCCCTGGGTCTTTCTTCTCACAATTTGGTACCGTTGGGCCTGTGGTGGGTGTAGTATTGATTTCTGAAATGCTTTCAAAGCATCTTTCTTCTTGACCATGGAAAAAATACTTGACCTCTTTTTAGCAACCAAGCTCTCCTTTGCCCTGACTTGCAGGCACTTCCTTTCTGGTGAAACTGAAAACTTTTCAAATCATTTAGCCCTGATGTTTGTTCCTGATTCTCATGGTAGAGCTGGCTGAAGTCAGTAGTGCTCAGCTCACAGCCTGAACATTGAGCTATCTTGAAATTTCCTTCATTAGATTAATTAGTCCACTGCCCTTAATCTCAGTCTCCTGCAAATTCTCAGGACATGGGAAAAAATGTACACAAACTTTCTGCCAGAATGTAATACGCATGTTTTTAATCCAACTGCTAAAAGAAAACTTGTTTCCAAATGAATTTCCTGAGCCTGGCCTTCATTGTCTGCATTCCTATCAGCATTCTGGTCTTCTGAGTTTTCGCCAGATTCTCCCATCAATTTTTGCTTATTGTATGCCAGTTTCTCTAGTTAGTATCTCCTAACCTTTCCAAACTCCTCCTGCAAGCCAGTTCCACAGGCTTCTGTACCACATGTCACATACAGTCACAGCAATGATTATGCTCCTGGTTCTAATTTTTTGTCTTATTCACTTCCCTCTCCTTGTGGGGGGGGGCAACACCTGCAGTTTTAAAAGGGAGTTTATTCTGGCTCACAGTTTCAGAGGTTCAAATTGTTGTTGCCTGGCTCCAAGACAGAAGGCACATGGTGGTAAGGCACAGTGGAGGAAAATGTTCACTGAAGGGTAGCCAGGAGGCAGAAAGAGAAGGGAAGATCTAGGGATGGGGATATACCCTTCCAAGTCACACTCCCCAGTAATTCACCTCTTTCAACCAGGTCCTACATATGAACATGAGAATTTTGGAGGGAAATTTTAGATCTAAACCATAACAGACTGCATAGCAGAAGATGCTCATTTTCTTCACGGTGAGGAAGCAAAAGACAGAGGATAAACTGAGACCCTACAATCCCCCTGGAGGGGATGCCCCCAGTGAGCTAAGATACCCCACAAGACTCCAGTTCTTCAAGTGTCTACCACCTCTCAACTGTGCCAAGATAGGGCCAGTCCTTTAACATACAGGTATTTGCATGATATTTCAAGTCCAAACTATAGCAATAAGGTTCCTGTTCTAGTCTTTGAACTAGGTTTTTTATTTATCTATTGGCTTTTAATTTCAGAACTTTTACATGTCAACTTACCACATCTCTTAAAGAAAAACATGCTACAATAAGATGATTTTCAGACAAAAGTCCCTCCAAAGTATGTTGGTATTGAATTCCCTGAAGTTTTAAAGTTATCATTCTAATAACATTGAATTTATAAATTTAAATCAGGGTATTAAAATTTATCCAAGTTAGCCAGGCCAGAGTGGCACATACCTGTAATCCCAGCACTCTGGAAGGCTGAGGCAGGAAGATCACAAGTTTGAAACTAACCTGAGCAACTTGGGACTTAGCTAGACCCTTCTCAAAAAAAAAAAAAAAAAAAAAAAAAAAAGGAAGG